GTAGTAAAAGGACGATGAGAATCCAAACGGCTCATCATCTAATTGCCTTGATCGTTGGCTATGATCTCCGCCATGCCGTTTCGAGCGACGGCGACGGAAACGATGGAGTGGATGGTGAGGGTGAGGATGATGAGCATTTGGATTTGCCCATTTTTGTAATTTCTTAAATTTTATTAAATTATTAATATGATAAATTATATAGACAAAATAAGTGCAATGATGAGGTGGAAATTTTTTTTTTTTTAATTTCCACGTCATCTAGTTAACGGTCAAACTTTATAGTTGACTGCCACGTAGGACAAACTTAACGGAGTGTAACGGCCGGTGACCAATCGTGAAACGATTCGTAAAGTTAGTGGCGAATAAGAAAGAAAAGTAATTCGGGTGGCAAACGTGAAAGATTTGTATAATTTGAGTGACCAAACGTGTAATTTAGCCACTTTAAATGTTATAAATCTTTGTGTTATTAATTATTTACCTTATTAATATTATCATATTTTAATTTCTATATGGCACTTAAAATTCTACGATTTTACGATTTGATTTTACGATTCCGATTTTACCCCAGTTTTCAATTTTAGATAAAATCCCGATTTGAACTGCTTTGCGTATAACCACCCCTAGCCTGCAACGGGTCACAACGACCATTTTTTAATCACTGGCGGCAAGTGAAGTTTTGATATTTGTGTTATGGTTTTTTAACAAATTCACACTCATGTCAACTACAAAAGCGGATAAACTCGGCCACGAAACAAAACTGGTCAATACCATAGATTCGGGTTCAATTGTCTTCCCAGCAAAACACAGTGGGGAATAAATAGAAACCCAACAAAAAATAGCTAAACACAAAGGTTGTAGAATAGGAGAGTGGGGTAAAAGAAAATTTTGGAACCTTCCCCACTTGCAAGGAGGAGTGTGAGAGACACTAATGAATAATAAGTCAAACCTAGACTTTTATATATGAACTACAAAAGCGGATAAACTCGACCACGAAACAAAACTGGTCAATACCATATATTCGGGTTCAATTGTCTTCTCAGCAAAACACAGTGGACAATAAATACAAACCCAACAAACAATATCTAAACACAAAGGTTGTAGAATAGGAGAGTGGGGTAAAAGAAAATTTTGGAACTTCCCCACTTGCAAGTAGGAGTGTGCAAGGCACTAATGAATAGTATCTCAAACCTAGGCTTTTATATATATAAATAAATTCTCAACAAAACACAGTGGACAATAAATACAAACCCAAAAAACAATATCTAAACACAAAGGTTGTAGAATAGGAGTAGGGCTGGCTATTTGGACCGGGACCGGATGAAAAACCGGAAACCGGACCGTATAACCCGGACCGAGACCAGACCGGGATCGGATAGTAAACAATCCAATCCAATCTTTGGGCTTAGATTTGAGGTAAAAAACCGGATAAAGACCGGATAAGAGAGCTCAACACCCAAAACTTAAGGATAATTTGCATAAACGGTCACAAACATTTGCACTTAGTACAAAACTTAACCAACTCCTCACCCTTGTAGGCCTTAGGCCACTCAAATTCCCACAATCTCAACATAAAATCAGCCCACGCTCTGTCGCGGGATATGCTTGACTTGCATAATTTTTTGGTGTTATAATGGAGGGTCGGAGAGAATGCACAAATAAAACAGTTATAATGTTATTTGCTCACTACTAACATCCATCCAACATATGTTGGGTTACACAAAAGCAATTAGTGTTTTTTGACACGTTTACTTAGCAACATCAACATGCATGTGATAATTACGTTTTAGCATCATGTTGTAAGTTCAAAGAACTGACATGACGCAACAATAACGTCTTCGATTGATGATAACATGAGTGTAGGGAATACAATAAATTTTGCTGAAGTTTAGTCAAACTCAAAAATAGGATAAATTAAACAAACAAAATAACTAAACATGGACAAAAGTATAGAAGATATACTACAACTGCAAGAAAAAAATGAAAACATGGAACTATCTACTTCCTCAATAGCAAGCAAAAAGTGCAACATTCACGCCATCAGCTCTGGCTCCCTTTTGCTGCTGACATTTTGCTGCAGACAAAAGCAAATAATCAGAGAGATAAAACATGGCAGACTACCAGGGGGAGAAGGAAAAAAAAGAGAAGGAAAGAGACAATGATAAAATTACCTTCGCCGATGCCTATCCACTGTCTCAAGAGAAGATGATTATGATGATGAGGACCGTGTCTGACCTAGCTGTAGATCTGGATGTGAAGAGGAAAATTGGATGGAATCACAATCCACAAAATGAGGAATACAAAAGAACAGGGAAAATGATACAAACAGATACCGGATCAGCAGATCTGCATGAACCATGAATAAAAACGGAAAAGACCGCCCTCAAGCCACATCGCTCTAGGCTCGCTCCCCCAATCTCCCTAACTGATTCTCGAGGCCAACATCATCGTTTGTGGTTCCAACTAAAAGTAATCCCCGCTAACCCATGATCGAATCATCTAATAAGCACCTGACGCACGAAAGTATCCCTATGACCAAAGCGAAAAGAAGTGAGATTCAATCTGTAGGTACAACCCAAAGAAACTGAGAGAGAGGAACCGAAAAAACAAAAGAGATAGTACCTTCGAGTGCCAAGAATATTCTGACAAATCAAGCTCAAAAGCCGTGGCAGATCTGGGTCTCTGCAAAACTTTCTCATGCCTGTAAAATCGGCCCATTGCTGAACTTTAACAGTATGACTGGGATTCCACAACCGCCACAGCCAAGCCAAATCTATAACAAGGACTCGTAACCTGAAGAAAAAAAGCCCAGAAGAGAGGGATAGAGCAAAACCATTTTCCCGTGTAAGTGTTCCCCCCTCATTGATGAAGACGCTACATCCAGAAGCAGATCTAAAAGTAAGATGGGGAATCAACCATGAAGACCTCACATCAAACCCATTGAAGAGAGAGATCGAGAGACTCGGAGAGAGAAAGATTCACCTACCGATTGAAACTCACCATCCTGCCCTTTAAGCTCTACTCCGAACCCTCGCCAAACTTCCAAAATACAACTCGATCAAACTCGAACCCCGCGTTCAATACCTCCCAGAGAAAGTCGAAGAAAAGAGGAAGAAAAACCCAATTAATTCCCGAAACAAAATGAGCAACTTAGAGAAAGCAAATCAACCAGCAATAGAAAAACCCAACATAAAAATTAGTTTGGTGTCGAGCTCGTGAAAAGAGGGGATATGGAGCCGAGCGTGAGAATCGTCAAGGAGAGCGTGTCGAGTTCGTGAGAAGAGAGAAAATGTAGCTGAGCGTGAGAATCGTCCAGGAGAGCGTAAGAATCGTTTAGGATACGATCGGCGTCAAAACTGCAAGGGAGGATTTGATCGGCGTCGAGATTGTGAGGAGAGGGAGAATGAGAGCTGAGCGTGAGAATCGTCCAGGAGAGAGAAAGAGTTAACAAATAAAGAAGCAAAACCTGAGAGAAAGGGAATCGTTCGATGAGATTTGGACCAGGGACTCTCCCTCTCTCATATCCTCCAATAAAGAAGCAAAAGCAGAGAGGAAGATATTTAGCCTAAAACGATGAGATTTGGAGCAGAGACTCTCTCTCTCATAAGCTGGAAATCCCTCATCGCCTAAAACAACAAAAAATATTCAGCCTCTATTTTGGAGAGAGTCACCCATTTGAGGCTAGCGCGCTTTTCATGGCAGAGAAAAGAAGCAATAGAGAGAGAGAGTGGGTTGCAGACTTGCAGCTGCGAAATGATGGCAAGGCAGGCTGGGGCGCTTTCTGTGACAGCTGCAAAGTGATGGCAAGGAAGGCCCAGCCAAACCAACCAACCAATCAGAGGGAAAAGTTGAGAGAAGCAGCGAAAGAAAAGCTGGAAAGCATAGAGCGAAGGGGAAATGAGTGGTGATTTGAGGGCAACTCGCCACTCACAGCAACACATCAGCAAACAAAGCTGGCCCAGGACTGGATAAATTCGGCAGCAGCCTAACTAATCTCACCCCTTCCAAGTTGGACAAACAGCGGCGGGCCCAACTGCAGACGATGAACCAATCAGAGGAAGGTGAATAGTAATTTTGAGTGTAGATGAATAAGAATTTTGAGTATAGGTGAATAGTAAACTCAGTCTTGGTGTACAGGAACCATGTCTTTGCAAATAACTTGTTCTAATTATATATGAACTAGAAAAGCGGATAAACTCAGCCACGAAACAAAACCGGTCAATACCATAGATTCGGGTTCAATTGTCTTCCCAACAAAACACAGTTGACAATAAATACAAACCCAACAAACAATAGCTAAACACAAAGGTTGAAGAATAAGAGAGTGGGGTAAAAGAAAGTTTTGGAACTTGCCAACTTGCAATGAACAGTGTGAGAGCCACTAATTAATAGTACTCAAACCTAGAATTTTATATATGAATTATATATGAACTACAAAAGCGGATAAACTCGGCCATGAAACAAAACTGGTCAATACCATAGATTCAGGTTCAATTGTATTCCCAACAAAACACAATGGACAATAAATACAAACCCAACAAACAATAGCTAAACACAAAGTTGTAGAATAGGAGAGTGGGGTAATATAAAATTTTGGAACTTCCACACTTGCAAGGAGGAGTGTGAGAGCCACTAATAAATAGTAACTCAAATCTAGTAATATATGAATTAGCTACTAGCAAAGCAATTTGAATTTGTGACTTTCTGATGGAAGACTAATGGCTTACTGCTAGACCAAATACTTAATTTCAATCAACGACTTCATTTTACAAAATATAATTTACATGAAAATAATACTTTCACTTTTGGATCAACATTAAATTTATTATTCTTTAAAAAATTTGTTCTTGTACACTCACGAAGCGGTAGCGAGAGAGTTTTTTCTAGTAATATTAAAACTAAACCTATATCACACGTAAAGAAAAGACAAAGTGTTCGTGGCCCGGAATCTAGAAACTGCAATGCTATATATGCTCTTTCAACTGTTGAAGGTTTTAATGGAAGTCCAGATAGGTCAAATCCGAAGACATTAGCTAAAATAATTGAGCCTATCTTCACATCTCGACCGCGCAATGTGGAAACTGCTGCTAGCCACACACGGCTCCTTGTTCCATTTTCTCCCACGCTTACATGACAATAATGAAAGCAGGTTTGAATTTACTGGAAAAAAATAGCACTTTCAACAAATCTACGGTACACGGCCCTCTAATTCAATCGATCATAAAAGAAAATTTGCCCTTCCAATTACGCTAGTAGACGTAGTGGTATAAATTAACGAGCACCACACCTTTCAAATTCTTCCAACTGATCAACACAATCGGCCGGAGAAAATAGGGGTTGCAAACAATGGCGGCTCTCCCAGAATACTTAGCTCATGATCGCCTCTCCGAGCTGAAGGCTTTCGACGAGACGAAAGCCGGAGTGAAGGGGCTTGTGGACGCAGGAATCACTCAGATCCCTCGAATCTTCCACACGCCGCCTCATCTCCTCGACAAGAGGCCATCAGTTCGAGCCGATCAAGGTTGCAACAACTTCAGCTTCCCGATCATCGACCTTGAAGGCGTCCGCGGGCAGGGTACGGACAAATGGAAGCGCGTCGCCGAGAAAATCGGCGACGCATCGTCCAAGTGGGGATTTTTCCAGGTGGTGAACCATGGAATTCCTACGAGTGTGCTGGAGGAGATGAAGTCTGGAGTCTTGAGGTTTCATGAGCAGGATCTCAAGGAGAAGAAGCGATTCTTCTCCCGTGATCCTGCTCGAAAAGTTGCTTACAACAGCAACTTTGATTTGTATAGCGGGCCGGTGGCTAACTGGAGGGACACCAACTACTATTACATGGCCCCTGACCCTCCTCTGCCGGAGACGATACCACCACCTTGCAGGTTATACATAGAATAATTAACCAGATTTGATTTAATTTATAGAATAGGTGTGTTTAAACTTGTTAAAATTTGTTACATAGTATTATACTGTGACAGAGTGTCAGTATCGTAGTCATGATTTTGTTTAAGGTGGATCCGATGTAAAAATCATGTCTAATCATTTGACAAGCATGTTCTTCACGTACTCTATTGTGAAAATATTCTTTCAAAACTTTTATACATTGATAATAACCATACTAATTTTAAAAGATGCACATAAAAAAGGAAATGAATCTATATGTCAGAAAATGGATAAAAACACCAACGATAGGTGTAAATTAATAAAAAAATTATTTGAAACTTGTTGAGTTGGCAGTGACATGGCGCGTTGACTAACGGTCAACGAGTTTGACCGTCCAAGTTAACGGTCAAAAGTTGGATCTGGCCAAATTGTTTATTTTGGTATATAGTTTGGGCCAGGATGTTATAGATCGAAAAGATTGGTCAAGATGTTTATTTTGGTTAAAGTTCAGGCCATACGAAAATATTAACCCATTAGTTAACTACAAAGTTTTTATATTGTTTATTTTCTTATTTTGTCAATTGCAACAATGTCCACTAGCTTTTATTCGAATTGCTACATCGATCGGGAAAAAGTTACACGGTGAAGATTGATTTGTTACTCTTGCAGAGAAATCTTGATAGAGTACTCGAAGCAACTGGAGAAACTAGCAAGCCTACTCTTCCAATTGTTGTCGGAGGCTTTGGGTCTAGCAACAAATTACCTGCAAGAAATGGACTGTGCAAAAGGGGTAAACGTAATGCTGCACTACTATCCAGCGTGTCCGCAACCAGAACTGACCATGGGAACGACCAGGCACACCGACACCAACTTCATCACCATCCTCTTACAGGACAATATCGGTGGCCTTCAGGTTCTTCATCAGGATCAGTGGGTTGATGTGCCTCCAGTGCCTGGAGCTCTGGTGGTGAACATCGGAGATCTGCTTCAGCTCGTATCGAACGACAAGTTCTTAAGTGCGGAGCACAGGGTGCTGGCAAGTAAAGTCGGGCCAAGGGTATCTGTAGCTTGCTTTTTCAGCACGGGTCTGCTGCCCAACTCCAAAGTGTATGGACCCATCAAAGAGTTGTTGTCGGAAGAGAATCCTCCGAGGTACAGGGAAGTGACGATTCCGGAGTTCGTTGGGTACGTGAAGGGCAGGGGCCTCGATGGGAGTTCTTTTCTGCAGCATTTCGAGCTCCGCTAGAGCTAGAGCTGGAGGAGGAAATAAAATATTGTAACGAGCACCAATTTATTCCTGTTTTATGGAAAGAGCTTTCCCATCACCATATCTCTATTGTCAAGGTTGTTGTCCTAGTTCATCTGGGTACTGTCCTCGAGTAATAGAACCAATTATATTGATTGACTTATATAAATTGACAATTTTCATTTCAATTACACAATAACTTCCTCATTGGGTTTTGGTCAGATAAGTGCTTTCACTTCACACCACAGTTTACACTTTACATCAACATTCAGTTGGACAAAACTCTATGTGTGGCTTTGACTTGAGAACAAAGTCAAGTTGGAATCCTTGTAATCAACCACATCTCCAACTTCCCGAAGATCTTCTAGATAAGGCACTTGTTCTAAGGACAGAGCCAACAGCCCTGGTAAAAATTTGTATCAATTGAGACTTGAGAGGCAAATTTGACAATGAATTATTGTAGAGGCGCATATTTGGGAAAAGTTATCACTTTCAAAGAACAAACAACATGTTAGTGTTTGGTAGAGTCGGGTCTATTGGTCTTTTTTCCTCACATCTTGGGCCTATGTTGTATCTCTAACGATCAATTCTCTGTCAGTCTTTTGCTTCTGTTTTTTCCTCTGCACTTTCTGTTACCTACTTGCCTCCTCTTAATTCCTTCCCCAGCGATGTTTTCTCTCTCTCTCTTGAGGGCCTGATTGGTTTCTTTATTCTTTCCTTTTGCTTTTTCGTCGAACCTCACCCAGAATCACCATTTTCAATCTTCACAAATATTCTTCCTCTCTCCTCTCCTCATCAGAAAAACCCACAACAACCAATTTCGATCTACACAAATCTTCTTCCTTTCCTCTCCTTTCGCTCTGATGGCGAAAAAATTGCCAAAGATTGCTCTCCTCCACCCCATCACACTCTACTTCTTCTCCGAAATTATCTTCCCATTTCCAGATTTATGAAAAAAGAATCCGGCGACTAGGATTAGAAGGAGGAAGGAACAAGAGTGGGAAGATCAGAATGTGCTAATCTTTTATTGTTCTGTAGTTTGTTGTTCGATTTTTTTCGTTTTCTTGCCTCACGTTTGTTGTCCTTCTTGCTTATTATTTTTTTAATTTCCAGAAACCTTATGCTGTCAATGGAGCTTCATATTGACGTAGATGAATCTGAAAGGAAAGTGTGCCGCCTGAATCTAGCGCCACGTCGACTTGTGGGTTTTAGACGATAGTTACGAGGCGGTCGGTCCGTGCAGAGGGTTTCGAGGTCAAGATCGTTATGAAACTTTAGGGGAGGCACAAAAAACTCTATTTCAGGAAACAGGGAACTCCACCTCCGTTGTCCATAGCTTTCGGTTCAACAGGCTGGTCTTCGACCCTAATAGGAAAAGCAGGTAGAAGGAGTCCTGCTCCAGAAATACATGTTGCTGTTTGGTAGAGTCACTTCTATTGGTCTTTTCTACTAACATCTTGGGCCTATATTGTATCTCTAACGATCTATTCTCTGTCAGTCTTCTGCTTCTGTTTTTCCTCAACACTCTCTGTTGCCTACTTGCCTCCTCTTAATTCCTTCCCCAATGATGTTTTCTCTCTCTCCCTTTAGGGTATGATTGGTTTCTTTATTCTTCCCTTTTGATTTTTCATTGAACCTCACCCAGACCACCATTTTCAATCTTCACAAATCTTCTTTCTCTCTCCTCCTCTCCTCATGAGAAAAACCCACAACAACCAATTTCGATCTACACAAATTTTCTTCCTTTCTTCTCCTTTCTTGCTCTGATGACGAGAAATTCCCAAAGATTGCTCTCCTCCTCCTCATCACACTCTACTTTACTCTGAAATTATCTTCCCGTTTCCAGATTTATGGAAAAAGAATCCTGTGAGATGCTTAGAAGGAGGAAGGAACAAGAATGGGATTTCTAAAAAAGAATCTGGTGAAAGAATCAGAAGGAGGAAGGAACGAGAATGGGAAGATTAGAATGTGCTAATCTTTTATTGTTCTGTAGTTTGTTGTTCGATTTTTTGATGTTTTTGAAGATAATAGTCATGCAGCTAGGTAACTTTTGGATGTTTTAGTTTGTTATGATGCTTATTTCTTCAACTACTATATAATTGAATGGCCTGATGGTTGTATAAGTGGGAGGGATTTCTTTGATTGAAGCAAGGTGGTGTTTGGTCTTGGTAGGGAGGGAGAATTACTTCATTGTTTCATAAAGGCCATAGGATAGGAAAGCTGTTCAAGTCAATGACCAATGAACTTGCACATTTTAACAAAAACAAGAACATATTCCTTTTCTTTTATGCCCTAATGCTCAGGAATTTGCACAACTCACGAAAACCTTTCACACATTTTGTGGAATATGAAGGCATTTTAAGGCAAACTGAATTAGCATATTTTAATGTGTTTTACTTCATTAATCTGTTTCCGCACACTAATTGTGTCTTTCGGGAAAATTGCTATATGTGCCCCGTGAATTCTCCATTATGACATCACAAACTTCCTCCCGACGCAAAGCGCGAGTTTCCTTACTAGTACATAGTAAAGAAGCAAAGGGCCGGTTTTTGTCTTTCTCTCCAGTTGGGCATGAAGTCCAAACCTTGGGAATCTTTTGTCTGCTTCCTCTGTTGGGCCTCGCTAGGTTGCTAATGTTCAGAATTCACTTAGGCCTTGGATTGGTCCAAGTTTTCTCTTGTTCATCCATCCGTTGGTCAACCAAGTTTGCCTGGGCTTTTTCACTGTTTATCTGGGCATTTAACGTTTTGCTTGTGCATATATATATATATGTATGGATCATGGATGATTTTGAGTAAAATCAAAAGTAGGATATACTTTGAATCACCAATTAGTACATCTTTGTGTTAGTAAACGGTATATGATTCATGATTGAACCTCTCTCTACAACTCGAGTTATTGGGATCAATTGGTTCTTGATATGGTATCAGAGACTTCTGTGACCGAGAAGTCTTATGTTCGAATCCTAATGAACCCCATCTTTTTCAGTTAAGCACATAGTGTCCAGACTTGTGTTTGTGCAAACTCCAAGCCTATCTGAGTGGCTTGAATTTGAGGGGGTGTGTTAGTAAATGATATATGATCCACGATTAAAAGTCTCCCAACAACTCGAGTTATTTGGATCAAATGGTTCTTAATACTTTGTCACAATCATCATCTCATGTTCAGTTGACTCGCTATGACACAACTCCTAACAATGGCCAAGTGTAACCAATGAAAGGGACTGCAGTATAGTGCCACAAGTAATAAATATCGAATCCACGGGTCTCTAGAGTTACTATTACTCAACTTCAGTTCATTATCTAGCAAACTAGATTAAGGATTGATTAACTAAACTACTCTACTAACTAAACTAAGTAAAACTACTAATTACAATTTGGGAACTCACTTAGGTATGATTCCCCCTAGCTCCTCAATTAGGTCCAAGTTGCAATTACCTTTGGTTGATCTACTGTTGATTAAACTGCGGAAGATCCTAAATTAGCTTGGAATCTCTTAAGCTGACCAAGCCCTCTCAGTCCAACTACCCGGTAGACGACTAGTCTTCACCAGGATAGAAAGCTGAGGCTATGAACACAGAACTCCACTACTGGAATGAATTCCAGTACAAAGCAGTGAATTGATTGACTCTCGCACAACCAATTCACCACTATCAATCAAGGAAGCTCTCTTAACCTAATCAGATTCTATCTATCATAGGTTAAAGCAAAAATCAAGAGAATTTGATCAAGATTCAATTGACTTAATAAATCATGCCTCAATCGATTATAATCAATCAATATAGCATCCAAAACTTCATACAAGAAAGATCCTAACACATGGAACTAGGGTTCCTCAAAACCTAATTGAAGGGAAGTTACTCCATAGAGAAGAGAGAGACTGCAGAAATCTGATCTAGATCTTCAATCTCCAACTCCAAGCTTGATTCCTGAGCTCCAATGGCGAAGAAATCCTCCAAAATAGCTCCAAGAATGTTCCCAAGTCGCTCTCTCTCTCTAGGGTTCGTCCCTTGGGTGTTTGGGAACCAAAACCCAGCTCTCCCTTTCCTTTGGCTCAAATCTGCCTCAAAAACCCGATTCTGGGCGAATTACGGGCTGAATTACGATCGTAATTCTTCCATGCCCGTATTTTGCCCAAAACACGTGTTTTGTTTAAGTTTCAGCGCACCCAAAGCTCCTCTCGGCAGTGAAAATACGGGCATGGGAGGCCAAATTACGGTCGTAATTCTTCCTCCGCTCCTGTTCAAAGCTTCGTTTCTCCCTCGTCCAGACTCCAAATCAGTCGCCGTCTTTACCCAGGCGCTCGTAGTCTCGTCCTCTTTCTTTTCATAACAAAATTCCATGATAATTTGTCCATAATATGAGGTAGAAATCCATTATTCCTCAGGTCATGCTCGGGTTTCTTCTCCCGAATTGCCAAATGATCTCCGATTGACTTGAAACTTGCGCCTTTGCTTCAATTTACATGATAGGACCTGAAATGTGACAAAGGAACACAAACTAGCATAAAATAGTCCAAGAAAGCAAAAACTCAAGCCAAAATGATCAAGAAACGAGGGTGCAAACATGTGCAAATACGACGTTATCATCAGTACTTTAGTTGAGTAAATCTATGAGATTTACAAAACCATGTTCCTTATCCCACACATAAAGCCCTATCTTATACTAATAGGGTAAATGACAAGGTTGGTCATTGAGATTACTAAAAACGTTCATGTTTGGTCACTAAAAATATTTAATTTCATTCGTGGTCACTAAGTTTATTAAAACATGTCATGTTTGGTCACTCTCTGTCCAACTCCGTTAACTTTGTCTGATGTGGCAATTAAAAATTTATAAAAAATTTATAAAACATGTCATGTTGACCGTTAAATATATGACGTGAAAATTAAAAATTAATAAAAATTTTATTTTAAATATTCCACCTCATTATTACTACTATTAAAAATAAAAAAATATTCATTTTAAATTCCTAAACCCAATGAACTAATCTCACCCCTCTTTCTCATCGTCGACTGAAAGAGGGTGTCGACCCAATCATTTGACAAAACAGAGCAAAGAAGCCGCCATGAATCCTTACCAGGTCTTATGTCCATTCCTATTCCTAAGGTTCAAAAAGCTTCCTTTCTGGGAATTGTTTGTGATATGATCTCAATTTCAAGCTTCTACAACCTCCAATTCTCGTTCAAAGTTTGGATCAAGTTAATG